GTATTTTTAAAATTTTTTTTATTCATATTCCTTTTGTCGCATTTTAATATAGACTTTATTTATACGTTCATATATTCATTATTATATACATTTGATTTTTAATTCAAATTTATGTGATTTGATTTTGGAATTTTCATATATATATTTTTTTAATCTAGTTTTTTATATACATTACAATATGTGTTTTCTTAATAATTTATATACTATTTGTAATTGATATTTTTTATATTGAATTTTGAATTTTTTTTATATGAATTTATTGGATGTTTTATGAAATAAAATAGTAACTATTGTTATGTAATTTAGCTCAGCGTAGAACCTGTTTTTTCTTCTTTGAATTACATATTTTCAGATTTGCGTGGAAATCTTGAAGATGATATTTTAGAAAATTTTATGATTGTGCGTTTAGATATAACATTTTAAATATAAATAAATTAATTTTTAATTTTTTTACAATTATATATGTATATTTATATGGAGTATAAAAAATAAATGAAATTTTTTTTTTTATAACTCGAAGAAACTTCATAATATATGGTCATTGGTCTTTTTATTCACAATTCTTGTATATATATATATATATACTATCCTATAAATATTCAATTTAACTGACCTTTTATATAATAATAAATATAAATACGTTATATTATTGTATAACAAACATATTATTCAAATAACGTTGAATATTATAACATTTTAAAATATATGACATCTTATTTCCCACCAAGTTCAAGTTCATCTATTAATCTTTTTGTTTGCTTTCCATCCCTCGTTGGATATCGGGTTTGAATTCTTTGAATTGGTTTAATTGTTTCTACTATTTTGTCTTCTCCTAACGTTATATTGTCATCTATTATTATTGATTCGGGTTCAACTAGTTCTTCCCTTGTTCGTAGTTGGCCGGCGTGTTTTCGTACTATTTTTTCTTTTTCTTCTACACTATAAAAGAATTTAGCTTGTTGATTTTCTTTCCTTCATGCCACCTTTTTCCAATTGGATTTATCCAAACTAAATCGTTTTTCCAAATTATCTATGTATGGCTTCACTACAGAAGTTTCTAATTTTTCAATAAAGAAGGTTTGACCCAGTCCAATAATATATTTAGTCTCCTTCCCATAAATAGTTTTGTGGGTATTCGCCCCGTTGTTGAGTGTTCTGAATTTCTTTACTTAAAGCCCTTCATTAAGCATTTTCCCCCATTATTCGTTTGTTCTCTATTTGTGAAATATCGATTTTTGATAGTCTGAATGCATCTTTCTACTAAATCATTACTTCTCGGATGATACGGTGTTATTTTATATGTTGTATATTCTTGTTTTTACACCATTTATTAAATTATTTATTTATAATAAATTGCGGACCATTGTCGGTTACAATTTATGGAATATTATATTGAATAACCCATTTTCTATTTATTAAATTCTTAATTGTTATATCTCTAATTCTATCGATCTCGATCCATTTTGAGTACACATCGATTTCTACCACGCAATAAAATCTTTCTAATCGCAAATCTAAATATACCCTTTCCCAGGGTTTCGATGACGAATTCCACGAGTATGCGGCAATACCTGGAATACCTCTGCGTTGTTTTTGACATCCTATACAGTTGTTAACTAGTTTTTCAACATCTTCAGTCGGCTCTTCATTAACCAAAATATCAAATTAGGTCTTGGTTTATCAATATTTATTTTTTCAATAATTTCCTGACCGGATCTCCTGATGCAATAACTTTTAATTACAAGGAAATATTATACTAAGGTTAAAAAAATTTATGATGTATGATATTTTTCAATCGAAATCTGTAAATTCTCTAATTGAATAATTAGTATTTGGTTTAAATCGCAATTTAAATTAAAAAATCAATTTTTTTGGTTTTTTTCAAAAAATTACATTTTTGCCAGAAATTTTTTGATTTTAATATCTCGTATTTTTTTATATGGTTTTAAATTTTATTTTAATATAGTTTTTATATTTGTTATTATTTATTCATTTTTATGAAAATTTTATAAGATTTTTTTTCAATACATATAAATCAATGATTTTAAACGATGAATAAGGTTTTATTGCATTAAAACGTTCACACATAGCGCCATCTATTTATTTTTATACATTATTCGTGATATTTATAAAATAATTATCCAGTCGCGCTAATTTTTAAATAAAGTTATCAGAAATATAGTAAAAGAATAATAGAAAACAAAAATGAAAAATTGGAGCTCATAATATATTCTAAATATTAATTGTCAAGATTTTCCCCTCATAATTATTATTAATAGAGTCAATATTCGAACTAATATAGCTATAATTTAAAACTATTTATTTAAGATCAGTAAAAGTAAAATAATTGATTTTTCTAACCTTTGATCCTCAAAATTTCTACAAATTTATATAGAAATCGAAAAGGGTGGACCGAAAATTTCGATTTTCTTGCTCATTTGACATGGAATTCCTCATCAATTTATAATAAATTGATGTAAAATATATTCTGGTTTTGCGTGCAATATGTAAGTAATATCAATAATTACTTAATTCATTATTAAACATATTTAACCAGAGTTGAAGATGCTTTTTAAATGGATATAGATAGAGATACATAGTCTAAAATGGATACAGATACATCATGTAAAAACGTATCAGATACAGACACAATTTTTATCATACTTACAGGGTTCGCCCTTGTTTTCGAATAAAAACTCCTTTTATGAGACAAAATATGTAAACAAGATAATAATATACCTTTTTTTATCATTCCTTAGAACAAATTCTCATTTAAAGCGAGCATTTATTTAAGAAAATCTCTACATTAAACTTATAATTTAGTCATTAAAAGTTAGGGTATTATCTAAAATTATTTTAAAAAATTCGAAATAATTTTATTTGTTTAAAATAATTTTGTGCATCAATGGTATTGTTTTTAATAATTAAGGGCGTCATGGCTAAGCAAGAATTTATATATTCCTTTATAGTGTCAACAAATTGAGCGTTTGCAATACGTTTTTTAACGTACACGATAAAAATATCCTTCACAATCTTGAACTGATATTTATTGAGGGAAAAAAAATCTAATGAATATTTATATATTTTTTATATGTATATAAGTTTTAGTGTTTTACATATAAGTTTTAATATTTTATATATAAGTTTTAATATTTTATACATTATTTTTTTAGATTATATTAGTCTTAATATTTTATAAATATATATTTCAGAGACCTGCAGAGATACCAATTGCACGGCCCGACCCGGGTTTAAAAATTTTAGGCCCGGCCCGGATATTTAAGAAAAATTTTTTGGGCCCGGTCCGGATTTAAAAAAAAAATTTTTTTTAGGCCAGGCTCAGAATTTTTTAAAAATAATTCGACCTGGTATATACAAAAAATTCACCTATTCGGTATTTTATCATATTTTCGGCGTTTAAAAAATATACATGAATTATTATATTCGTCAATTAGATATGGTTATAATGATTATATATAGTTATGATTAATATAATGTTGGGTGAAAGTTAACACTAGCTAACACTCATAGTATCAATTATAGTTTTCCTGCCATGGAATAAATACGCAAAGGATAATAGGTAATAAATACATTATTTTATATAATATATGTTATATTTTTTATTAATTAAAATATCAGTTTTATTTTTTTTATAAATACAATTAATATAGTATATTCTCAAAAAATTATTTACACAAATTTTTTATATCAATTTGTAATATACTTAATATCTGTTTAGAATAAAAATAAATAAATATGTAATATGTAATGTTGTTAAACGGCTCGTTTTGAGCCGATTTTTTAAAAACGGCTAACTCAATATTTTCGCCAGAAAAATATAGACTAAGCCTCGAAATTTCGATACTTTATGTCTACTAGACCTTTGCTCCTTTTATGAACAAAATTTTCAAGCTTACGTAATATTTTTCTGGATAAAATAATGTGTTAGCCGTTTTTAAAAATCGGCTCAAAACGAGCCTTTTAACAACATTACATATTTATTTATTTTTATTCTAAGGAGATATTTAGTATATTACAAATTGATAATATAAAAAATTTGTGTAAATAATTTTTTATTATTGTATTTATAAAAAAAATAAAACTGATATTTTAATTAATAAAAAATATAACATATATTATATAAAATAATGTATTTATTACCTATTATCCTTTGCGTATTTATTCCATTGCAGTAAAACTATAATAGATACTATGAGTGTTAGCTAGTGTTAACTTTTACCCAACATTATATTAAACATAACTATATATAATCATTATAACCATATCTAATTGACGAATATAATAATTCACGTATATTTTTAAAAAAAATTTTACAACCCGGCCCGGGTATTTTTTAAAACAAATTTTTCAGGCCCGACCCGGCTCGGCCCGGTTTTATTTTAAAAATTTAAAATACGGCCGGGCCGTGCCTGCAGGTTTCTGATATATTTATTTAAATTATATGCTCAATTAAATATTTTTATTTTTAATATAAAAAGGGTTATATAAAAGTATATTAAAAAGTATCTAAAAACAGATGCAGATACCTCTAAAATAGTATCTAGATACAGATACTACATTTTTATATCTAGAATTTTTAATAATTTTATATTTAATTAATTAAAATTAAATCACATAATCCTCCAAATTTTAATATATTAAAACTCTTCTACCTGTCTCCTTGTATATATATATTTATTTCTCCCATTACATTTGTGTATTGTAGCCAGAGTTGTACCTAAATATTTTAAAAAGTTTCAGGTTTTTATATATCACTCTGGTTTGAAGGATCTTCCTTTAAACCTATGTCAATTAGTAATGGGGGAAAACTTTTTATTCATTAATTAAACCCTCAAAATCTTGAACAATACATATGTAAATTAGTTGTATTTAAAACCTCTTTCGGTTCCTATGGGTTTCATCTGGAATTTAATTTTTATGAAAACACAGAATTTAAGAATATAATTTGTGACCAAATAATTTTTTTATATATTGATTAGATTTCTACATTGGGTTACCATCAGTCCAGGTGGAATTATAATAATCAAGATGATGTTGCCGATGTACTCAACAAATATGACGAATATGATATTCCTCTAGATTTTATATGGCTAGATATCGAATATACTGATGGGAAGAAGTTAAAATAAATAATCACATTTGTATCAATTATATTTCTCTATCATTATATTTAGTTTCCTAATTTAATTTTTCTTTATTTAATTTTATTCTTAAATAGAAGTATTTATATACATGTAAATTTTTTCGATATGGTGCAGCTGCATTTGAAGATATTTGTTTTTTAAGAAAGAGAGAAAGAAGAAAATAATTATCAAACACATATTTATATTTTGTTTTACACAATACATATCAGATATTTCACCTGGGATACCTCCAATTTTCCGAATCCTTTGAAAATGATAGATTATTTAAAATCGAAAGGTAGAAAATTAGTCATAATTATCGATCCCCATATAAAAGTGGACTCCTCTTATTTAATCTATAACGAATTAAACAACCGAGACAAATTTTTTGTCCAAACAAAGGATCGGAACGATTATGAGGGCTGGTGTTGGCCAGGTAAAAATTACTATTTATATAATTGATTTAATTATTTATTTTTTTTAAATTTTATATCCTGCCAAATTTTATGATAAAATGTACACATTAATTAAAACCATACTAGCCAAAAATCGAGCTTTGCAAAATAAAGTTTCCATGGATATTTCGAGTGTATACTTTAGGTTAGAGATGTTAAAACCCGATTCGGGTCGATATTAAGATTTTAGCCAAATTAATATTATATAAGCTTGGGGATTTTGCTCAGATGATAGAAAGGTTTGGACTTATTTATTGGTTAGTTTTAATAAATAACCCTAGTTTGCACAATAAGAATATTATCTTTTATATTAATTTTGAATAATCTCGATACTTTAAAGTAAAAAATTTTAAAGTACTCAGCGAATTACTTTGATTTCCATATAAAAAAACTCTTGTTTCTTCTAATTTTAAATTTCCTTAATCTATTTCATTCATTTTTATATTTTAATTTAACGTGTCATTCATTATGTTTGAAAGTTCAAAGATATTTTTTTCGAATTATCATTATAAAAGCCAACCTGGGTAAACCTGGGAATCGCCATTGAAGAAGAATTTTTTATAATGTTTGATCTAAGTTTTAAGACAAAAGTGAATTGAGCATGAAGTTACATAACCTTTAAATATATACGCTAGTTTTATAGTCATTCATAGCATACAATTTCAATATTGAAATTTAAATTAATATATATCGATTTTCAGTTTTAGAAGCATGGTTTCTTTCCATATGGTATTGCAGGCCTGACTTTTCTGTCTCATTTCCTCTTGCAGGATACCACCTTGAAAATATGGAGGGTGCCGTTCCATAAATGTTCGCACCATCCGATCCGATATTTATTACAAAAGCGATCCGATATTTATATTGGATTTTATCCTATTTTTTATTTTTAAGAGCCAACTAACTTTCATGAATGATCAAGTGTATTGTTTTTTGTTCTTCAAAAATTAATCTCATTCTAAATAGGAACAATATTGATAGTTGTAGTGTTATTAAACGCCTTAATTTAGCCTATTAAAAACATAAATCAAATTTTAGCTAAAATATTATTACCTATGCTTGAAAATTTCGCCAATAGATGGCCGAGCCTTTCTATCATCTATGGGAAAAATCTCCAAGCGCACATAATTTTTTTGGCCAAAATCTTATGTTAACTTTCCAAAAAATGCTAAAAACATTACAAATGGAGTTTTGGTTTATATCTTTATTAATATGTATATAAAGTAAAATTAATATAAATATAATATATCATAAACAATGAAAATATCGACCCGTGCCGATACTTTTTTAAAGCGCTAATAATTGGCACCGATCCTATATTTAATATCGACACAGTCAAATTTTTTTCTTTTCATCTATAATCGTAATAAAATTTGGTTGAATTGAATTGACTGATGTATTTATTTTTTGTTCAAAATGAAATTCACAAAAAGATACCCGATAAAATGTTTGTAACCTTGTTCAGAGTTATTAATTTAGATATTTTATCCCTAAATTATAAGTCACTTAAAATGTTTGTAACTTGTTCAGAGTATTTAATTCATATATTTTATCCCTAAATTATAAGCCAGGTATAGTTTCATCAATGGTAGGATAGCTTTTTGAGATAATTTTAGAGATATTAAATAGTTCACACATCTTATATTTATTTATTTATATTGGTGCATATTAACATTTGATTGCTTCGACAAATTTCTATGAAATGTTTTAAATTTCTGAATAAAATATGGCGATTGAAATTGAAAAGGCGTCTAGCGCCAGTTACTTAACTACTCATTAAGCCTATTTCATAAACAAATCGAATATTCAATTCGTTTCGAAAATAACAAATATATGAAATGTAAATTATTCGATTTGAATAATTCAAATATTGGTTTTTAAATAGAGATAAGAATACATGTTGCAAAACAATTCAACATGAGTTTCAGCTCTACCCCCTCAGATTTTTAATGAGTTTGCATATATTATAATTAAGAAAAGAATCCAACTCCGAACAGCGCCTGAGATATCGAAAAATGGGGCACTTTGAGCAAAATGCAAATTGAGCTGTGAAGTTTATTTTTTAAGGCAAATGTGTAAAAATATATTTTGCAAACATCTTAAATTAAAAGTTAGTGAAGATCTACCATAGGAAAGTGACAACTGTCATAATCGTAACTTTTTTGAACTTTTTACGATTTTTATTAGACTGGGTAGCAAACATGTTAAAATAAAATTTCATTGAAGATGTCCCATAGGAAAGTGTCAATTATCATAATCGTCATTTTTGAACTTTTTTGAATTTTTTTTAGACAAATGGGTAAAAATATATTTCGTAAACATGTTAAATTAAAATTTCAGTGAAGATGTACCATAGGAAAGTGATAATTGTCATAATCGTCATTTTTGAACTTTTTTCAATTTTTTTAAGGCAAATGGGTAAAAATATATTTTGTGAACAAGTTAAATTAAAATTTCATTGAAGATGTACCTTGAAAGTGACAATTGTCATAATCGTCATTTTTGAACTTTTTTCAATTTTTTTAAGGCAAATGGGTAAAAATATATTTTGTAAACATGTTAAATTAAAATTTCAGTGAAGATGTACTATAGAAAAGACAATTGTCATAATCGTCATTTTTGAACTTTTTTGAATTTTTTTAAGCAAATGGGTAATAATAAATTTTGTAAACATGTTAAATTAAAATTTCATTGAAGATGTACCATAGAAAAGTGACAATTGTTATAATCGTCATTTTTGAACTTTTTTGAATTTTTTTAAGGCAAATGGGTAAAAATAAATTTTGTAAACATGTTAAATTAAAATTTCATTGAAGATGTACTATAGAAAAGTGACAATTGTTATAATCGTCATTTTTGAACTTTTTTGAATATTTAAGGTAAATGGGTAAAAATATATTTGTCATAATCATCATTTTTGAACTTTTTTGAATTTTTTAAAGGCAAATGGGTAAAAATATATTTTGTAAACATGTTAAATTAAAATTTCATTGAAGATGTACCACAGGAAAGTGACAATTGCAATAATCGTCATTTTTAAACTTTTTTGAATTTTTTAAGGCAAATATGGGTAAAAATATATTTTGTAAATATGTTAATTAAAATTTCAGTGAAGATATACCATAGGAAAGTGACAATTGTCATAATCGTCATTTTTGAACTTTTTTCAATTTTTTTAAGGCAAATGGATAATCTTCAATGAAATTTTATTAACATGTTTACAAAATATATTTTAACCCATTTGCCTTAAAAAAATTCAAAATAGTTTAAAAATGACGATTATGATAATTGTCACTTTCCTATGGTACATCTTCATTGAAATTTTAATTTAACATGTTTGCAAAATATATTTTTACATATTTGCCTTAAAAAATAAACTTCAGTCTGAGTCGAAAAAACGACCAAACTTCAAGTCTGAGTCGTAAAAAACGACCCAAACTTCAACTCTGAGTTAAAAAAAACGACCCATATTTTAGGTCGAGGTCGTTTTTTCGGCTTGGACGGGTCTAGGTCGAAAAAAACGACCCGAACTTTGAGTCGGGGTCACGACTCGTGGCGTTTTAACAACACTAGGTAATTCCATGGTTGATCGACGGAAATAACGTGATTTTCGGACGATTTTAATATGGATGAAACTTAGCATGAAGCTTGAGTAGATTGTGTATTTTATACAAGTAAATTTTAATTCTCTAGCCAAATATACCTAGATATGGACCTTCAAAGTTCGATGAGAGCCTTTTCCTCTTTTAATGAATCCAAATTACTCAAATTTTTTGGTTTAAAGTTGCAAATTATATATCATTTTATCCCTCAAAATTCTTCAAGAAAATGCAAAAATATTTTAAAAATATTAAGTGTCGTTGTATTTCCGATAAAAAAAACATGGGGAATTTAATTTTTATTTAGTTTTTTATAATCTAGGCATAAAGAGATCAATTATAAAGGGCGTTTAAAAAGATGAAACTCTTCTAATGTTTTTATTATCATATTTAAATATTAAGTAAAAATATTAATGGAAAATATAATAATACTAGCTGATAGCCCGTCAAAAATGACGGGGAATCAGAATTTTCTCATTTATTCAATGACGGATAAATAATAAATTTTACCTTTATTTAACGATGTATGAAGAGGTATGATTTAGAAATTTATTTTTTTAGATGTAAAATTTTCCATTATTTGTTATAAAATATGTTTATGAAGTATTTGGTTTGATGCGTAATCGACTAATTTTGGCCGAATTACAAGACGGCTTAGCCGATATTTTGAGTGAAAAAATTGGCTAAACTTAATAGGCTAAGCCTAAAAATCGGTTCCACGTCATTACAGAGAAACCATTACAGATGTATTTTACAGAGAAACTTTTATAGAGAAAACAAAAATAGAGAACGCACTTATAGAGAAAACAATTATAGAGACTGTCGTTTATAGAGAATATTTTATAAAGTTTTATATAGAGAATGACGTTTATAGAGAATGCACTTATAGAGAATAATTTTATAAAGAATGTATTTTATAGAGAATTATTTTATAAAGAATTTTACAAAATATGTTTTATCTATATAATATATAACATTTTTGGGAAATTATTACTTAGGCTTAACATAGTCATATGGAAAATAAATTACATTATTTGATATAATATTAAATATTAGAATTACCTTATATAAGCGAATAATTGGGTAGTTTTTGAATTTTTACAATCATTATATTTATTAAGATATATATAAATTAAGTAACTAGTTACTTTTCTAAAAAATGTAGCCAGATACTCGATTTTGTAAGTGTGTAGCTAGTTAATGGTAATTACTTAATTTTTTCATTTATAAGCTTTTTTTATCTTCAGCAAAATTTATTTTAGTTCTTACTTATATTATTATTTTTCCTAAAAATTTTAAATTATAGACGGATAACTCATTCTTTAGTTAAAAGTTATATTTGTCACGAAACGTTGAACCAAATTTTGACATGATTTATAAGGAAT